GAGAGAGAGAGAGAGAGAGACTGGAATCGTCGACAGGATTTTTTTCCCCCCGTTTCACAGCGCGCCTAATCACGGCCATAGCTATGCTAGGTGCGCAACACGCTGGTCTCGCGGTTCGCGCGTCTCTTTCTTAATGAAAGACAGCCGGCTCGCGTTAGTATTCCTGGAACGTCGCATTAATGAGACGCGTTCACGGGGAAAATTCCTTCGGCGAGTTTTAATTAACGCCGTGTACGGCGGGGCGCGACGCGCCACTTTTGAAAAAAAGTGGAACAAGGCCCGGCGCGAAATCGACAGGCAGGACATTCGTTAGAAAGCTCGACGGACGTGTCATAAAGTTGCGAAAGAAACGCATGTACGCTCGTACGACGAGGTAGGATCATCACGTGTGAACCGTGTGCCACCGACGCAGCGAGCAGCGATATGATGAAGAACGAGAGGAACAAGAACGTCGATGGATCGTCTTTGATTTTCTGAGAAAAATGACGCTGATGTTTCTCAGCTACAAGAAGAGATTGCGAATCGCGGTGAATTAAATGTGGGATAAGAATGCGAATGTCCATCATAAGCATACGCGATTGAAAATTACGTAGCGGTCTAGAGAATGTAGAGATACGAAGATGTTATGGATTCACTGATTAATGTACAGTACTGTTATTTATAATGCCTGATTATAATATCTAACGGTGCTGAATTAGGTAGCTTTGTTGATAATGTTTAATAAATTGATCAATGTTTGAGACGAATTTCATTGGTCAGATTAATAGTAATAAATAAATAACTTTTCTCGTGGTTTTATTTGTTAAATAAAGTTGGAGATGGCATAGATACTTTGAGATAAATTTTTAAAAATAATGTTGACAATTGCTATTTTTCTTCGAGCTTCAACGGAGTTGATCAATACGGCTTCTGAGTGGCTTTCACCATTCATTGTTTTCAAAATGCTATTTCTTTCTTGGAGATTGTTGAATCTTTGATGAAAGGTAACTGTCTTGTTTGCCAGTTATAACAGATGCAAGGTACATCTATGTAAATTGTGAGAATTATTGGCCATAAATATTCATTCAAAAAATTTATCGGGAGATTTTTACGATTCCCACAATTTTACATTTCAAATCAATTCTCAGCCTCTCGATTACACGTATCTGTATCGTACCTTTCTTTCGCATGTGATTAATTATTATACATATCATAGTTATATTAAGATGATTGAACTTTACATTTAATAGTACTATAAAAGTACAGTAAACTTACGAATAATAGAAAGCAATTTCTATATCTTTCAATTTCACGATAACGTAACAAGTTAAATTAAATTTTATACTCTAGCTAAATGAACGGAATTAAAATATTAAATAAATTACAAATAACAGCAGTATGAAAGTATTTTTTAATTCAAATGAAAAATACTCATCTCTATACAAGAAGTTCTCAATTAATCTAAAGCATCTAGTATTTACGGAAACAATTGAATTTATATCGAACACTTTGAAAAGATCAAATTCACAACAAGGGTCAAATGGGCAGTGATATGTGCGTGGTAAGTCTGAATAAAATTTCTATGAAGAATTACGAATTGGGGTTCAGTGTTGAAGAATTCACTGAAATATCATTGACACGCCAGACAGACAAACTCCGGTCTGTGGCTGCATGTCTAAGGAAGAGCGGGAAAGTTAAGTATTTTTCTACACTACGAACTCATAAAGAAAACGTTCAGCGTGAACTCCGTGTGCAAGTACTTTAGCTTGTATGATCAGCACACAGACGAGACTCGTCCAATTCCTGGCTACAAGTTAGGAATAGTCGACATTGTTTGCCGAACTCTCCATCGACTAGGGTAAAATTCCTCGAAGGCGAAGAGTTAGCGGCTATGCTAACGTCTACGCCACAATGAGCCTCCCAACCCGACGTACTAATTACTTCCACTTTCGATCGTGTGTATTTAAATAGTGCTCGCACGCGTTGCATTCGAAGCACACCTCGGTGTCCCTTTCCACGTTTCCTTGCTCTCAAAAGTATTATCAATGGGACGTTCCAAACGTGGTGAACAATAGAAATGTGGCGAGACAGAGATTAAAAATTGAATCTTTTAATTAATCTTTCTCTCTCCCATCGGAATCGATGTATTCACGAAGTGAATGATTGAAATTTTATCTAGATAAATAACAGACTATTTCAAATATTGTTATCAATAAGTTCACCCATCATGATGTATTTACATGTATGTACAACAATATAGAAGAGACAAATGGAACTGTAGAAATAAATATTGAATATAATGTACTGCGTAGATTTTTAATTTCAATTTTTACAACAGAAATAATAATTCAGACGATACACCGAGGAAGTTGTGGAAATTAGAAGGATACAAATACACTCTGGGAATTCTAAAATTGTAGATCACACGAGAGGTTAGATATCATTATGCTTCTCGTAAGCAGTAATCATAGTTCCGTTGAAATTAAAATATCGAGAGGAAACGATTCGTCGCGGGATCATTGCGGCGCGAAAGATTTCAATATCAACCTCAACGAACACCTCTTCCCCGGCGTTCCTACATCGTTCCTACTACCTTTCAAAAGGAAACATCGTTCGCTCGGATACATACCAGACAACCGTTACTCTGTCGTAAACTTAAATTACCAAATTAACATGTATTGTGAGCGGCAACCTGGAGGCACTTAATCCGCCATAATTCTGAAATACGACGAGGAATTTCCATACGGAGACGATCGTTGAAAAGAATGCCAGTTGCATCGCGACCTGGGTCTTACTACACGTATTCAGGGGATATATATGTCAATTACCCTAACTTCGCGTGGCTCTCGGCTGCGAGCCCCGTTAACGATTCGAGCCGTAAGGAGAACGTTAACGAACAGAATGTGAAACGAACAGCGCTGATAAAGGATGCCTTAACAGATATAAAGTACACACTGTGAGAAATCGTAATTGTGTGCTTTCGTGCGGTAGCTCGATGGATCAACAGATCGGTAACGCGATCTGTTTCTTGCCTCCTCGCCTTTCTCCGTCGTGTTTCTCTTTTTCGTTGCGGCTAAACATCGAGCCAGACGTCGGTAACAAAGGCGGTGTGTTTAAAACGCGCGTTTATAAAGCGATTATGGCTGCAGTAAGAGGTTGCAACAATAAACGTCATTGAACGGTTATAAACGGGATGCCCGAGCGGATTAGTTAATAACGTCAGTTACGATTTACGCGGGTGAACGTTGAATAAAATAATGTCGAACTGTGATTCGCCGTTGCGATAAACACGCAACACATCCACCGATCAAGGATAAGCGCACAGATCGTTCGCTCATCTCCAATCGCGGACACGATCGGGAATCGTTTCCTCCTTTTATCCTTTTTCGATGACGGTGATTCGAAACGGACGGTGAGGCAACCGTGTGAGACGTTTATTTAAACTCGTAATTTATGCACGTCTGATCATTACGCACGTGTAATACGCAGTGCGATATTTATTAGCTGCGATCAGGTTTTTGTTGCGACGCAAGCCTGATCATGCGCGTCATTAGTCCGAGTGGAAATTTCCTGGGAAAATTCCCGACCTAAATTGACTGACTTTCAACGCTCGAAATTGAAATTTTCGATCTTCTTAGCTGGCCCACGAATGCTCGTCGACGTTTCACGAGGTTTGTAGCGAACAAGAGTATTCAAAATTTACAAGATAGTTAGCAGCGTAAGTGTCATATGATAGAAGATTCATATTTGAAATACTTGATTTCAGAATATTTAATGGAACTATTAAACTAGATCTAATGGAACTAGACTATTATTTATATTATTAATGTGAAAATTAACATATTGCGTTACTAAAGTATGTATATTGATTTTCACATGTATACACACATTTTCAGATTTTCTCGGCACTTTCACACCCTTAAAGTGCATGAGAATCTACGCGTTACAAATACTTCCACTCAGAATCTTACGATGCTTCCTATTTTTAACGAAACTTCAATACTTCGTACAGACAAAATTGTTAATACGTAGTATACACTTTATCAAATCGAACTATCGCAACTACCGCTAGTTTATTCAGTTTCCTTCGATTCCGGAGCACATACAATAACTGCAGACTTTTGAGTACTGAGTATATGTACGCGATCATAAAATGTTCCAACAAGTTATACGTAGCTAATATTTTCGTAAATCATCGCATCTGGAAAATTCCACGCGGCCGTTGGATCTACGCCATGGTAAATCGACTGATACTGCGAACAATGTTCGCGAGAACAGAAGGGAGTAGAGAGGGGGTGGGGGGAAATACAACTTCCGGTACGCGCGTGGCGGCGTAAAAGAGGCAGAGAAAGGGACAGAGAAAGGGAGAAAGAGAGAGAGCTGGCGCACGGTTGTGTGGTTTTGCGTGGCGGCGTAAAAAGACCGAGACACGCCGCGGCAACCAGAACCCGAGACAACCAGAACCCGAGACGTCCCTCAGAGACAATGGAACACCTCGGGCACCAATTAATCACCGCGCGATAATGCAATTGGGAACAGCCGGTTCCTCGGTCTTTTCGCAAGCTTGGCCAGCGTCTGGCAACGAATTGCCCCGACTACTCTCGTGCCTTTTTGCTCCGAGTTCTCCCCCCTCGTGTGTCCTTCGTCCTTTCTCTTTTCACCGTTGCTCCGTTCTTCTACCTCCCTTCCATCCCCCTTCCGCCCCGTT